CAGGTAAAGTCGCAGGTCTTTACACTCGTTGGTCTTCACACAAGGAGGCCTGAACGCTTCCGCTGATGCTTCCGCGTCAGCGCACAGACATCAGGTAAATACAGTCTAAAAGACTAAAGTGAAAACAGCTGTGGCCGCCTTCTGATTAGCACAGCCAATAGTCTATAGCAGGCCAATTCCTCAAATCGAAACTACAGTTCGCACTTAAACGCAGTAAGGGAGCAATTAAATTACACGCGCTCCTTCTTTGCCGAGGACAATTATTATAATTACCAGAAAGTGCAATCAAAAATACAAACGCAAACAAAAATATAACGTAGAAATAGGCAGAAAACGAAATATTCCTTCCTAGCAGAAAGTAATAATTCAAACAGCAGATCTATAAACAAGTATTACGCAAAACACTCACGTGCAGCCGTCTGTCTCTTCTGTTGACTAATCGCTTGGCCCGAGTTATGACAGTGACCAAGCAGTTTAAATACTCTACAGTCGCTGTGGCCGCCTTCTAATTAGCACAGCCAATAGTCTATAGCAGGCCAATTCCTCAAATCGAAACTACAGTTTGCACTTAAACGCAGGAAGGGAGCAAAATGCATAAATGGCTAAAAACAGAACAAAGCAAAAAAAGAAATAAGATCTTAAAATAAAATAAAAATCGTAAAATAAAATCTTAAAGTTAACGTCCACCAGATAACAGAGATAATAATAATAATAATATTTACAAATATTAAAAATAATAAAAACAAGAAAAATAAATTTTGATATTTTAACAGAGCCAAAAAAAAGTAGTCGGTGTTGGTAAGATCAATTATTTTCCAGGAATTTTGTCATAAAAGAAAACGTCATTTGGAAGAGAGGTGTAAAAGCATACACTTCAAAACAAACTACTTCCTATTTTGTTGAAAAAAAGTACAATATTGCTGCTCTTCTGTCTTTAATGATTATGATTCATCTAATAGCATCTTCTACATATTTCTCCGCTGCTCATACAGGTGCTGAAGACACTATTAATAATTTTCTGATGATAGAAATGATTGTGTTAACACAAGGTTTAAAAAAAAAAAGAAAAAAAAAAAGCAGTCACTGGACCGGTAGGTCTGGGCTGATGACATACTTGCTCAATTCCACCTCACTGAGGAAAGCAACATAACAAATCAGATAACAGGTGTTACAGATGCATCTTCACAGATTATATCATCAAAGTTGACAGTAAATGGATGGATGCATCTAAAACAAAAACTCCATATGCAACACATATTACACATGAAAACAGAGGTTAAAATACTCTGATGAAAGATTTGAGGAATGTTTCTTTTGAAACAAAACCAAAAGCATTTAAATAGATTCATATCTGATTTTATTCTGATTTTAAATAAAGCACCAAATGATCTTCACATAAACATTTGCTTCACATTTTAGTATCACACAGTTAGGACCAAATCTAAATGAAATCTGGTTTTACAGATTGGTGTAAAAAATTATTCCAAATGAAACCCCAGAGTTATTTCCCAGATGCAGACTTGAAATCACATGCAACATTACGTCATCATCTGACATGACTGAATGTAAGCTCTATAGCCACTACATTAAAGAGTCAAACATGCTGAACATCAAGGAGAATAGCAAATGACTGATAATGGGTGAAGTCTGGCAACCCTCTTTAATGGCAGAAACAAGTTGCCAGTTATTTACCCACTGTGAGTAAATCATAGTGTTTAACTGCGTCATCCATCTACGATGATAATAACGCTTTTACAGCAGAATTGCTAACAAATGCAAGCAGCAAGCATCATGATATATCTGCAATTATTTGCCAGGAATTTGCATTAAGGTGAGCATATAGTTTCTAAGTTCGATTCATTTTTGTTAATCAGTTCAAGCTGTCAATGAATCAATGAAAAACTCAATTCAACAATTTCTTGCAAGTATAAAAATGCTATGTTAAATGTAGGTAAATACTGCCGTTTATTAATGTATTTTTGTGTACTGTATATAGTGCATTATATAAAATATAATTATTATTTGTGTTTGTTTACACAAGGCATTATTTATTTAGTTATTTATAATTATGTCCTTGTTTGGAAATCATATTTTGATTATTTCTATCAAGCTTGTTACTGTATTTTACTGCTGAAAGTGGCATTATGAATTAGCTTGGCCTTAATGACTGCTCGGTTGAAATTATGATTTCTCTGACTGAAGAAAATCCCTATTTTTGACCATTTCAGTGAAAATATTCACAACATAATTACCTATAAATTGTTACCATCTATAGGCATCTTTATACAGCTGATTTAAGGCTGCTCTGTGCCAGCTTAAAATTCTGTGCAAAGACGTAATGCAGCATAAAATCCTGACTAAACTGTGTATCAACGTATATGGTGGTTATTGTTGTGTAAATGCATTTATGCCATTTCTGAGTAGCATTAAACAGTCTGTGTAAAGACACCTAAAAGCCACTTCAGAAGCGCCTCTGTGCCACCTTTGCAGTGTAAATTTGGTATAGCACACTTCATTGACATCTTGCTTTAAACATTTGAAATTAAGTCTGTATATGACCACCAGTAAACGTACTTTATACCAAACAATGAACATACCCAAACACTGGCACTCAGACAACAGGTCAGCAATATGACTGGCATCCCATGTATAGAGATTAATGCTATTATAAGAGAGGTTATACCAACTGCTAAGATATCAAATATGCAATACTGCTGCATAAAACCCCTGCACAACATCACTTTTGATTGATGGGTTAGATGCTCCATGACAAAGCTTACAATACAAAACAAAAACACTGAGACTAAAAAAAAACTACAGTTCTCAATGAAAAAAAAAATCCTATTCATGAAATATGTAGGTGTAATTAAGATTATTACCCTTACAAAAGAATCATCTTCTTTCTTCAGTGAAACACAAAAGGAGATGTTAGTCACTCAGAATGACAGTTTCAGTCATTTGCTTTCACTTTATGCAAAAAAAAAGCAACGAAAGTGAATGGTTAACGTTACTGATGTTAGAATCTTTTGTGTTTCACATACAAAAAAGTCAGATGGGTTTAGAACAGCTTTTAACAATATTTCAAATAATGATAATTTTAACCTAAACATTATTCCTGGAAGCAAACAAACAAATAAATACTCACTACCATAGATATACTGTCAATTCTGGCACATATAAATACACCAAATTTGTAGTAGTTCGTGAGTTCTCAAGGGAAACGTAAAAAAAATACCCAACTGCCCTCTCGGTCTCCCCAACTTCTGAGGAAAAACACAACCAACTTTAGTTATCCGGCGTCTCAGGCATTAACCCTAAAGCTGTCTCTTAGAAATCTGTATTTGAATAAACTTCACGCATTTACATATGCGACTAGCTAATTAAATTACGGTTATTCTCCTTACGGTCTTGTAAGATGCAGTCACAATCGATCGATCTCTTCTTCGGTGCGGTTTCTGACAGACTAACGGTCCTGTCACGTCAATCATTCTGATGATTGACAGTTACCGACTCTAACCGTCGGGTCTCGAGCGCACACCGGTGGGTTTCGCGGGTTTCTTTCTTTTAAAGCGCATCGCTGTAATGAGGCCTACGGCAGCTTATTCATTTCTGCGGAGACGGCTGTCTACCTTCAGCCAGCTTTGTTGACGGTAGCTCAGCTCGGCTAGATGATTTACAGTCTCTCGGTGAGATCTTTAGATCATAATAAAAACGAAATCTGGGTCTTTCCTAAAGCTCGGGAATGATAACGGTTCGTTAGGTCTGGATCGTACCTGCCGTAGATCCCCTCGGTGATTCGGTTCCGTTTTAAGGGCCGTCGGAGCTTGCTGCAGTCCGCATTGCGCCGCTTCATCCTCGCCCCCTTAAATCGGGCTTTTTAATACGTACAGCAGTATGGTCCAGGGTTCTCTCTTATTCGGCGGTCCCACAAAGGAATATACCGCTGTGGTTGTTTTTTTTTCTTCTCCTGGAAACAAAGAAATAAATAAAAAGACTGAGTGGAAGACCCTCCTCCTTCTCTCGGCGCAGACGCACAGACAGGTGTGACTGACAGGCCGCTAAGCCAATAGGAATCGCGCTTGTCGGTTGTCATTTTGAATGACAAGACAAACAGCCAATAAGCAGCGGTCTGTTTTGTCGCGGTACCAAAGAAAGGGAAATGGAGCGGCTGACAGGTTTTCTTCGTCCTACCAATCGCTGTCTTTGTGGACAAATCAGGTAGTGCTCCATGACCAATGGGATTGATTTGGGCGGGACTCCTTATACGTTTTTTGCTTATGATGTACGAGAGATGCGTATTCCACATAAACGTACTTTTCGTTGGTATTTTGCGCGTTTCATTGCTATGCACAAGTCTTTTTACATTGTGTGACTGTCAAACGCTACAATGGCATAAACAAGGCCCACCAAATAAGGTATAATGCATTATCAATTTAATATCAATAGCTTGATTAGTGATCATTTAATTGTACTATTAGCTAAATTTTAACGCCCCCCGCCCCCGCCCCCAACACATATTTTTAATATGTTTAAAATTGCCGTGAAACGGAAGTTGGGATAGTCTAACCATTTAATTAGCCTCATTTGATTTAAATTAAGTGAAAATAAATTAATTTAAAACAAGTTCACTACTTTAGTCTTAGGGGGGAAAACAATACTGAATTCAAACGGTGCTGCAGGACAGGAATAACACAAACTTAACCACAATTAACACAATACGTCTTGCATAATTTTCGTTTGATAATGGACCTGTTATACAAATAAACTACATCCAAGATATTACACAAAGGCCATATTGATTAAATGCACACTTAGGTGGCATTTTTGGGAAACACCTCCGTGCCTCTTACATGCACGTGATCTTGCATATTCCTCATCTCTGGCTGGTGTAGATTGCAGACATTCAGAGTTTGTCATGTAATAATGGCTCCTCAGTACGCCCCCAGTCTCCGCTCAAGACTTCCTCTCTTGGCCTTCCTGCTGGAAACCATCTTTCTCCTACTGTTTGTCATTTTTGTGAAAATAGAGCAGCATGAGCAGTTTGGCAGAGAGTCTGCCAGTAAGCTTTTCATCAGCTCATATGCAGGTTAGTAAGTCTGATTTACTTTAAGGCTGTGTTATGAATTTTTAAGGGCTCAAATTGCATTCCCTGTTAAACTTGTGGTTATTTATGAACAGCATCAAATCACATAATCTATTGTAAACCTGCTATGCCTGCTATGCTATTGCAACAAAAGACTGGCTGTCAATCGCATATTCTGCTAAGAAACTAATTCCTGGGCTTTCTTAAGGAACTTTAACATATCAAACCACCCCATTCAACAACAACAACAACAAAAAATGTATATTTTCAAATATATATTTTAAAATATGTGTTTGTTTTTTTTAAAGGCCAAAAATATATTTGCTAAAATGTTTCATAATATATTTACGTAAATATATTTTAAACCAATATATAATTTTGTAAAAACATATTTTGCCCTCCATGTTTTAATACAGTAAAATACACTCACATACATCACATTTGAAGAATAACTTTTGTTTTCTATTAAGCAAACTTTACAATGTTCCAAAAAAGCAAAAACAATTACAGTATTGCAATTTATGAAGTTATTAAATCATTCTAAATCTAGTTTTGATCTCTAGTAGGCGATTCCTCCACATTTGCATTTAGCCTTAATGCCCTGAAATACATTTTGAAATATATTTTGGTGTACGTAGGTTGAAACTAAATATATTGTCCATTTCAAAAATATATATTATTGAGCTTAACTGTTTACAACATCTATAAAATATATATTTTGGCCAGAATTTATTTATTTATTTTGGATATGGATAAAGAATCATAACTCAAAATTCACATGAGCCTGCTGCATACCCAAAATGATTATGACTTTACCTTGGCCATGTTGCCGTTGGGGTGTGGAGCCACAACATCTCTGGTTTGGATGATAAGAAGCATTTCTCTACCACAACAAGCAGTATTAAAGACTGACCACCAAGTGCATTGCCAAATGTTTCAAGTTTTTAAATATGTTTTTATAAATGTACACATTGCCAATATTGGAAATGTAATCCTTTTTACAGAATTCCAAGATGTTCATGTGATGATATTCATGGGGTTTGGTTTCCTGGCCACGTTCCTTGTACGATATGGTTTCAGTGGATCAGGGTTTAACGTGCTGTTGGCAGCCATGGCCATCCAGTGGGCCGTCTTGATAAATGGCTTCCTGCTGCCACAACAACACCACAGAAGAGAGATCCACATCAATATGAAGAGGTACATACATTACAACTCTTAGCAGACATGCCTTAACATGCTGATGGCAAAACCAGAATAGACCATTTTCAGTGACAGATGGAAAACTATTAAAGGAATTGTTCACCCAAAAATGAAATACACTCACTCTCAGACCATCCAAGATGTAGATCAGTTTGTTTCTTCATCAGATTTGGAGAAATATAGCATTACATCACTTGCTCACCAATGGATTCTCTGCAGTGAATGGGTGCACTTCAGAAGACGTTAATTGATGGACTGGAGTGGTGTGGATTATTGTGATGTTTTTATCAGCTGTTTGGACTCTCATTCTGACGGCACCCATTCACTGCAGAGGATCCATTGGTGAGCAAGTGATGGAATGATAAATGTCTCCAAATCTGTTCCGATGAAGAAAAAACTCATCTACATCTTGGATGGCCTGAGGGTGAATACATTTTAAGCAATTTTTCATTTTTGGGTGAATTATTATTTTTTAAAGAGGTTTTACAGCATCACATGATATCAAATGTTATTTGTGCTCCTCATGTAGTGTTATTGAGGCAGAGCTCTGTGCAGCATCCGCTCTGGTTGCCATGGGAGCGGTCCATGGGAAGGCAAATCCTGTCCAGCTTTTACTGATGGCTCTGGTTGAGGTCACAGGATTTGTGGTCACTCAGTGGATCCTGCGAGCTCTGTTCAATGTAAGAAGCATTACTTTCCCAGATAAGAATGATCATTTTTATCCTATGATCCTCATCTCAAATAAAAAGAATTTCAGTGAAGAATGATTCATTCGGTTGAATGAATCATTTAAAGATTCAGCTATAAAGACAGTTATTTGTTTTGTTCCTAAATCAGTGGGTCCTGCAAACTCTGCTCTGTGTAAGAAAACTATTAATTTCCAAAATATATAAATCAATTTTCAAAATGTCCCATATCCTCATCTCTAGGTACACTGCAAGCCAGTTTCAGTAGGTTTTTTTCCCATGCATTTTTCTGCTATATCTGGCAAATTCAGATGGTAGAAACATTTTCAGACAAACAGTTTTTTCAGCCTTTGATTTTTTTATTGTAAAACACTAAAAATGAATTATTATAGCGTGATACTGTTTAAAGTATCAATGACAAAAATAGTTCAATTTAATATAATAATAATAATATTTGCATACATTTTGTATAAGTAAGCAGTATATACTTTTTAAATATCAGGAAACTTTCAAAGTCATGAAAATTAACGTTAAAAATGTTCTAATATTTCTATAGTTAACAGATGTTTTTCTGTTCTAGTCTAAAATACTTAATTTTCCAGTTGTAATATTTTATATAATTTTGTAATATGTAATTCTGAACAGTAAAACCATATTTGTGAGTTACCATCTGAATACTTGCAAGACATTCCACTTAGTACTGCAAAAACCTAAATAATAATTTGAATCAGACAGATTGTATTTTCATACTGTACTAAAGCAGAGCTGATGTATCAGGCAGATCCAGTGTACAGCATCATGCTGCTGCATGTCTTCGGAGCTCTGTTTGGTGTGATGGTGTCATGGGTGCTGCACAGAGAGGGGATCAAACCAGAACATGAGAAAGAGAAAACTGACAGCAAGACTGGCTTATTCGCAATGTTTGGTGAGTACATTAACTAGTTATCTCTCAAACTCAAAAAATACCTCAATTTGACCTCAAAAATACCTCAAACCAGTTCTTTCGTTTCAGACCATATCCATAACATATGGAAGCCCGTTTCCGCCACTGAAAAAAAAAAAAAAAAAAGGTTATTGCGACTTTTTATCTCACAATTCTGACTTTTTTTCATACAGTTGTGAGATATAAACTCGCAATTGCGTGATATAAAGTCAGAATTGCGTGATATAAACTCACAATTCTGACTTTTTTCTCATGTGTGTCTCTTGACACATCATTAGTTCATATTAAAGTAATAGGATTTAATTCAAGTATTAGTATGATTATTCATGTACTGATATTGTAAAGTGTTACCCTGTGAGCACAATCGTGAGCACAATCACTTAATGAACGTGTTTGAATGAATAGCTTGAATAAATAATTCAGTTACTCATTCATAACGACAGTAGCCAATTTCGTTCTTGAATTAATTAATTCATGCAGCATTAATCAGCATTGTCAACGAATCGGTTGAATGAATCATTCAATAATCCAATCACAGTTACTGTTCTTGTTCCAATACAGTTATTTGTTCTTGTTCCTGAATAAATTAGCATTTTACGTCAATCAGTTGAATAAAAGATTCAGTTATTTACTTATAAAGACAGTAACTTGTTTAGTTTTTGAATTAATCAGCATTTTAAAACAAATCGGTTGAATGAATCATTCAAAGATTCAGTACTAAGGACAGTTTTTTTTTTCTAAACAAATGAGTGTTTTTCAACGAATCGTTTGAATTAAAGATTCAGTGATTCACTCATAAAGAAACTACAGGTGCATCTCAATAAATTAGAATGTTGTGGAAAAGTTCATTTATTTCAGTAATTCAACTCAAATTGTGAAACTCGTGTTAGTTATTAAATGAATCAGCGCTTTGAACGAATCAATTCAATGATTCGGTGGCTCACCCATAAAGGCAGTCATTTCCTGCCACCCACTGGTGAATTGATGCAACCTGCAGAAAGATTCACTGAAAAAAATCCCATCACTGATACACAGACTGAACAAACATACAAACGGAGTGATACCAACAGTGATATCATCACTCTTGGATTGATGCTTGTCCAATGAGATTCGAGGACTGAAGTGTAATTATTGTATGTCTATATTAAGAACAGGAATATCCTTTCTTTCTCTTTTCCTCACAGGAACGCTATTCCTGTGGATGTTCTGGCCCAGTTTTAACTCGGCACTGGTGCGAGATTACAGGTGGGACAGAGGACTAAAGCTTACTGTCATTTATGGGACGTATCTGTCGCTGGCTGTCAGTGTTGTCATGGCGATGTCTGTCTCTATGCTCACTAGCTCCAAAGGAAAGATGAACATGGTGAGCGGCTGTAGGAACAACATTCTAGCAACTCCCTCACATAGTAGAAAACTATAATGTAATGCAATACTTTGTAACATTGTTAAAGTAAAACGGGTTGTGAACACCATTTCATGTTGACTTAGTTGGGATCTAGGAATGTTGAGCAGATTTTCAGATAATGGGCATCATGAGATGAGTAGCATGTCTGCACAGGTTCACGTCCAGAGCTCTGCCCTGTCTGGTGGTGTTGCCATTGGAGTTGCAATGACAGCTGTCCACGCGCCGTGGATTGCCATGACGATTGGATTCTGTGCTGCTCTCTTATCAGCCTTGGGATACCGGTACATGAAGGTAAAGCCACATCAATCTCTAAATTCTTTTTTTTTCAGCACTCGTTGTCTTCTGTCTTCCGGTTTGTATTTCCACAGCATGAAGCTAAGAGCTTACAAATTTATGAATGAACCTCTTGTTTTAAAATCGTCCCGGTCTACTTACATTCATGACATCTGCTCCAAACATTACAATGCACATGATAACTTTCATTAACTCTACAATAAGTAAATCCACTTCACCAGCGATGCCATAGAAATATACAGCGCTATTGCAAAAAAGTTCAAAGACAACATTCTAAAGATGGCTGCGTGCTTGTTGCTCTGGTGGATAAGGTCTATATCAAACACTGGTTTGGGTGTCAAGACGGATTTTGTGGTGGAGCCCCTGGTAAGGTTAAATGTGTTTTGAATTTCAGCCTATAAACCCAGGCTTTAAGGAGAGCCACAACACTTAAACTGCCCGCTAGTAGAGAGTACGCGTGGTTAACTAGGTTTTCAAGCGAAAATCAAAACCCAAGAGGCCAAAGGAGAAAGCCTTTCTCCCATTGATAATAAACAAAACTCAACTTAACTTTCAAGCCACACTTTTAAAGTATAGTCTCTCAATAGTGACACTCATTCAATAATCACAGTCATTCCGTCAACAATATTTTCCATCACTAAACGCTAAAAACTGAGTGCTTTTTAAAGGCTCTCGGTAACATGTATTACCCGATATCACTAATTAGCCCAACCCACATCAATTAGCTAATTTCAAACAGAACCAGACAAGGGTGTCAGAGAGAAAAGAGTGCTCTAAAAAATAAACCCATGCTGCTCAAGCTCGAGCTGACATGATAAATGTTTAATGCTTTAAAAAAAAAACAATTCAAAGGTTTAAATCTCAGATTTTTAATGTGTGAGATGTGTATACTTTATATTACATAAACTGTCAGGAATGATTTTCAGTTTTTTTTTCTTTCATTCAGAATCACATGCTGTTTGCTTTTGAGTGTCATGACACCTGCGGCGTCCTCAGCGTGCATGCCATACCGGGAATTCTGGGATGGTTTGCTCATTTATTTCTACGGCTGGCCAGTAATGAGAGCACAATGTAAAATATTTTTTCCATAAAATGGCACTAAAGCATATGGTCCACTCCTTTTATGTTGACTGTGCTGTATCTGTGTTCTCAGAGCGGTGCAGTTCGCTGTCTATCACATCTGTGTTCTCCTCGTAACGGCGTGCATGAGTCTGGTGATGGGCACAGCTACAGGTACAACACCACCAATGCATTCACACTAAAGATCATTAGAACAGACCATTTGCTTGTGCTTCTCGTGTTTTGAATAAACCATCAAAAGATCAGCATCTCACACTGTAAAAAAAAAAAAAAGTAAAAAAGGTCACTGGAGTACATTTTACATGAAAATACCATTTCAGTCTTTCTAGTTTTTTATGTTTAATCCACTGTTGCTTGCTGTTTCTTTGTAATCATTTGTGAAATTAACTAGCACTTTCTGAGTGATTCATTTATGTATTTATTATTCAGCTTAGGCTGGTTTACACTGTTTTCTAGTGCATACATTGATATGTAGGGGAGATTGGGGACGGTTTCGACACTTTTTGCATTTCATTCAGTTTCTCAGAGAGGGTTTGTATTGGAGAGCGAACATTTTAATACAATAAAGTCACATCTGTCAGCTGATGTGTACATATGATAATATACCTACAATTTATACTTGAATAGACAAAGTCAAATGTTACAACTGACCCCATAACGGGATGGTTGCAACAGTCCACATGGGGGCAGTTGCAACATTCATTAAAATGTAATTAAAATCACTCTTAAATATAATTTCTTTATTTTATCTGTGCACAGATAGGGTCTTCAATAAGTTAAACTGGCTGTGTAAAAACTAAGAATAGGCTAGTAAATGGGATTACAATACTTTTGAACTACAAAATATGAATTGAATCAAAATCAAGACACTAAAATTTAATAATAGCCTACTTCTGTTAAAGTTGACTGAACTGGGGCCAGCTGCATAAACATAGCACTATATTAAAACCGTGTCTTAACTAGTTTGACTAACTAGCAGTAAACCATGTGTTAATGAGTCTTACTTTTTAGGTTCAAATTAGACAAATCTACCATTTTATGTAACTGTGTGTAACTTATGTCATTTATGTACATATGCATGTGTGTGTGTGACAAAGAGAGGGTGGAAGACCAGGAAATTAGTCCACATTAGACTCAAAAACATATACTTAAAAAATGAGAGATACCTGACTATTGATAGGGGTTCTTTATTAATCCATAAAAATACAAATACAATTTTGTAATGTTGTGGTAATGGACAGCATGTTGGGACCCTACACTGACAGCCGTGATAAAACCTGCTATATTAGCTTGACACAGTATCTTTGACACATGCTCTATGCCTATTAGAAGCTAAGAGAACAATGATACAAAATATATGACTTTACAATGCTTCAAGCAAACAGTATGACACAAAATCTGATCATAATTTTTTTTTTTTTTGTAGAAGGAATGGTCACATGTGGCTGATTTCTTCTAGGAAGGATGAGGGGCTAATTGAGAATGTGCAGTATGAATATCAACACTGTAGCTCATTCCTAATTAAAGAAATAAGCCATGTTGTGACCGCCCCTCGTTGCAACCGACCCCACTCTCCCGTTTGCTCTGTGACAAGTATTTTGCATTGACTCACTTCTGATTCTTAAGTAAAAAAAAAAAAATCCTTGTGTGGCCAATTCGTTTTGTGTTTTGGTTCAATGAGGCAAACTATACATAAAACTGAAATTAAAATTTGCAGGACTTTTTCTTAAATGGAGTATCTGGAGACCCCAGCAGGACAGGAAGTGCTTTGATGACCAGGCATTCTGGGAGGTGAATGGATTTGTTCATTTGCATCAGTTTAAATAGATCATTCCTTAACCTCAATGTTTGCATTTCTCTTTTATCATTTAAAAGTAGAATTAATTGTATTAAACCTAATTAGGGGCCAAGCACCGAAGGTGCAATGGCACCTATTGTATCCGTTAGCGTCATTTTTCTTCTTCCGCCGCAAGTCTATGGCAGCCCATAGAACCGCTTGCGGGAAAGTTGTGAAATTTGGCACACTGATAGAGGACAGTCTCAACATTAACCATAGCAAATTTGGAGTCTCTATCTTAAACTCTCTAGCGCCACCACTTGTCCAAA